TTAGGCCCCTATATTTGTCACTGCGCTCTTCCTCTGGGCTTCATTTCCTTCCTTCCATCAGTGCTGATGTTGCCTGTGCCAGTGCGATCTGTCCCTCTCCCACAGCCCGAGGGCTTCCCTACCTTCTGTCACCATAGTCCTTGTTTACTGATGTGTTTACTTCCCTCCTGACTCAGATAGAAACTGTGTCTTCCTTGTTTTTCTCCCACCCTCCATACTTGTTGAAGTAACAGTCCTTACACTTTACTTGCCTTCTGTAGCAGGAACTTAAATGTAAATATAGTTATATCAGTATTTGACGTGAGTCACAGCCTGAGAGATCAATATGAATGTCCTGTAAAGATTCTAGTTTTTTTTTTTCCTTAATGCTGTTGAGTAAATTGAGATTCTTCCTCTGTGATAGAGGGTATGTTAGTATTAAGTTTCCAGATCTGCTGTTTGTTAGCAGGGCCAGAGTGGAAGTAACTTTCGTGGTTTGGGGCGTTTCCTGTGTGTTCTTTCTTGAGTAGTAGGCATAAATGACTGACAGTAAAGAGCAATTAATAATTTTCCAAGTAAAATATTTTCGTAACCCACTCTTTATGTGCATCAAGTGATTTCCCTCTCAGGAATGTGGTCAGTTAAAAAATAAAGTTACACTTCTCTGAATTCTGCAAGGGCTTTGGAAAATCTGTATTGTTAGATCTTAAAATATATGGAAAACGTACATTGTTTAGTGCAGTTTGTTGCTTACTAAATGGGTGCTGCTGCTGCCATCCAGCTGAGTGTCCCAGGTGAGAGAACACTTGCTCCCATCAGTGTCTGTATGTTTTTGTTGTTTCTTTTTTTTGGTTCCGGGGACTGAACTCACAACCTCATGCTTACCAGGCAGGTGCTTCTGCCACTGAACTAAATCTCCAGCCTCTTGTTTTTGTTTTCTTTTGTGAGGCAGGCGAGTGCTGTGTCTAAAGAAGTGGAGTTCCTCGCCCATATGTATCTCGATTGGCAGTTTCCATTTGAAGATTTTGTTTTTCCTCCTACTGTGAATGAGAATGTGCTTCAGATTTCAGTGAAGGTAAGCAAATGTGAATTTTCCCTTCACTAAATGGGTGGAGACTAGGATTTCCTGACTGTTCTGCAGTTAGCTATGCAGTATGTTTGTTATTATTACTATTACTATGTGTAGAGGTACTATAGTAGTCAAATTTTTACCACCATGACCAAATACTGTATGTTTTGACAGATTATATAGAATGAAATACTAGTTTATCAAGAGTGAGGAATCCGACATACTAGTATTTCCTTTTTTGGTACAGTTAAAAACATAGTTTTTTTTTTTAAACTCCATATAAATACTTATTTTGCTATGATGTTAGCCATTTCTGGAAATAACACCTTTTAGGTTTTAGGTGATTGTTAAAATACTTCAGTAAAAATAAAGATGTCTAAAATAACCATGTTTCGTAACGTTTGGCATTTATAAATGCTAATATAATTGAAGTATATGACAGTACTTCCATGTCTTTCCTGTCCTCATTTTCTATGAAGGAACTTGTAATTACATAGTATGTAATTAGTAAGAAACATACCTCATGTTTTGTTTAGTTCATAGCTCACTTCACTTTGAAACATGTTATTGTATGTGTTATAAATACATTTTTATCCCTTAAAAACCCTAAAACTTATAATTCCAGTATGATAGTTTCTGTACTTACCTTTGTATTAATGGTGTTATTATTCCCGTTACTGAAACTCTGAAAACCTCTCACCAGGAAGTGTGATAGAGATGAAAGTATTGTCCTTTGTGTTTACTTTTTTCCATGGAAATTACAGATTGAAAGGGTCCCCATGTCTTCTGCCCCTTTGATTTCAGCATCTCCTCTAGTACTAAATGTTTTTTAAATACTGGAGAGTGAACTCTTTCCACTGTTTTATATATAAAGCACAGGGTTACATAGCAATACTGGGAAGAATGTACATGTTTGCTTTGAGGAGCAGGTGTAAGGGCATCAGTGCAAGACAAAATATTTCCATCCTTTCTGCATCTTTCCTCAGAGACGCGTTCTTCAAACTTAAAAAACATTTTAGAAGTATTTCATTTGGGTGGGTCTGCAGATTTACAGCTGCTGTTGAACGTGGAGTTTATTTCAAATTACTGACTCAGTGGTAAAAGGGAGATGCAGAGAAACCGGACTGCTTTGTTTGTGTTAATGTGCCACGGTGGGTCTGTTATCGTTGCTCAAGTGCCCTAAGGGCTAGCCGTGAAACTGCAGGTCTCCCCGCGTCGCTGTCGCTGTCGCAGAGCAGAGGGCAGTGCCTAAGCCCTGGAGCTCTGGTTTCTGATGTCCCTGCCTTTTGACCACTCATCTTTCTCAGTTTCTGTGACTGAAAGTAATATATATAAAACTTCTATCTTAAAAAGTTTCTATTTAAAAAGGTTCTATTGTTTTGTGCCTTTAAAAATAACTTAATCAGGAATTTAAAATGGATTATATTTTCTTACGAATCATAACTATTTACAGTGTCCTAAATATTTAAAAAATTATATTGCACTGATAGTATATTCTGTAAATGGATGTACAGGACATTGAACTAAGAAAAATTACAGAAATTGTAAACTCATTGTCTTAGTTGACTTTGAAATGAATTTCTAATATTTGTAATATTTTTATTTGATTTAATCCCCTGGAAAAGAAATAATCTGTTGGTAGTAAGGTCTGTCGTATTTCAGTTTGATCGAGAGGCCCTTGTATGTTATGAGTTGTTATCTCTTGCTTTTTGTTTTGTTTTGTTTTTTTGGTACCAGGGATCAAACTCATGACCTTGTGCTTGCCAGACAGGCACTTGTGCCACTGAGCTAAATCCCTGGCCCTCAGTCTGTTGTGTCTTAAAAAATGCTTTTGAAGTCCATTACTTGGATATAAATTCTGCGAGAAATAAAACATTTGAAGCATTGTTTTTACAGATGTCCAAACTTGTGAGTTTATGTTAAACACTCAAGTTACATTTAATTTTCATCTTTCCCTTTCCTTCTAATTCTATAGTAGTACTATGTTAGAGTAATACTTATCTAACTTTAAAGGATGCTATTCAAGGAAATTTTATTCTGGAGCCGTTTGACACATCAAAGTCTGTGGCACAGACCCCTGTGTAGGGCTGCAGAGAGGGGGCCTGGGCCGCATCGTGGATTCTGTTGCTGCACTGGCGTTGAGCCGGTGCTTCCCACGGGCCCTGCGCACCCATGGACCTGTTCTGGGATACACAACTCCTGACCATCCACTTTGGCTTGCAGCCTCCCCAGTGGCCGTGCAGAACCTCCTTACACTGCAGGGCAGTCTGGGGTGCTTTTCCCCGGTCTCTTGCTCTCCTTTCCCTCACTCCCTTCTTCTCATCTTCTCTGTTTCTTGGTTCCTGTCTTTTCTCCTGGGGCTCAGACTTCAAGTCTTCAGGCTGCCTTAGTTGGACAAAGAAGCTCACAGCCTCACACCCACCAAGTCTAGAAGAGCAGCAGAATTGATTTCAAAATCAAGAGAGAGCAAAAAATCAGAAGAGTGCACTCAAGCATTGTAAGAAAAGTCTCATCTGGCCTGGACTCCTTCCACTGTGTTCCGCCTATTCGTGTGGCTTCTATTTTTGAATTACGTATGAGAAGGGATGCCATGTTTTGATGCTTTGAAGCTCTGAATGTCTTAATCCAGTGCTCCCTGGACATCTTTATGTTTACTAGGGCTCCTTATTTGTTTCTGTAGTGTGGCCAGGTCTAAAGTAATGTTCTGGGCTTAAATAAATTCTCAAAGAGCTCCATGGAAACCAGTGCTGTTTAAAATACAGTGTTGCTGTTATTGCCCAAACTACAAGAACTGTCTTTGTATTGGAGAGAGCCAGGATTCCTAAAGGGTATGAGGTCACCCACAGTCAGAACCCGAAGGGACCAAGCCCTCGGTTCAAAATCAGTGCCCTACTGACTCCTCCCACTGTGGAAGCAGGCGTTGTGCTCCTGGGCTCTGGAAGGAAACTGAGTCCTCTTGCAGAGCACGTGTTTCTCTTGGGGTGCTGCCACCAGTGGATGAGTCGGCCTCGTCTCTGAATTTACCCTTGGAAGCATCCCTAGTCACAGGTCAGTGTCATTCAGGTAGCCAGTCGTGGGTTCCTTCAAACAGCAAATCTGGTATTTTGTGTTTCCACCCAGCTTCCAAGATTCAAAAATTCAAAACCTCTAAAACACAACGCTGCTCCTGGAGGTGCCAGGATGATGTTGTAGGTGTGTTCTAAAGGAGAGGGCAGTATCTTGAGGTGGGTTAAGGCCAACGTATCCTTTCCTGTAATAAAACATTTCAAAATTTAAGTAACAACTTTACCTTTGATCAGACCTCATAGAGCTGTATGTCCTCAGAATTCTCTTACTAGTTTGCTTTGGAATTTTAGAAAAATCATAGTCTCTGAGAGAAACCATGAGAATCAACAGTTTCCTTCCCTTTTCTGAGCATGCTGGTATTTCATCTTGTGATGATGCTGGCCAGTTGTGTTGGCGACATGTTTGAAATGCTCGACATTGACAGGGTACTGAGGTGCTGCCACTGCGTTCCTCGTTGCCGGTGATGCCCCTGCTGAGATTCACTTAATGCCTGAGGTTTCCTGATTGTGGCTTAAATTCCATGATAAACAACTTTCTAAATGTATTTCAGGTTTAGTTTTTGGGTTTGGTTATTTATGTAGAAAACACTTGATACTCAATTTTTCTCTTAGAGAACTCACTTTCGTCTTTTGCTATCTTTTAAGTCTTTTCTCATTGTACTTCATTTTATTTTTATAGTGCCTTTGAAAATATTATTTTTATTAAGTAGATATTACTGGTGACTGGCAAAGAACAGCCCAAAGGCCAAATCATACGTTCTTATAAATAACCGTGCCTATTTAATGGTTGTAGCCGATTTCACAGTTTCACATTGGCAGAGTTAGCGGTGAGACACTATAGCAAAGCCTTAAAAATTAACCCTCCAACCATTTACAAATTCATCAATCCCTAAATTATACTGTACAACTGATCATGCAGATGGGGCAGCAGTAGACCAAATGAGTTACCTCAGCTCTTACTGTCAACAATACCCTTCTCTGTCTCCAGCTTTCTCCCTCCTCCTAGAAGCAAGGACAGTTAGGCCAAAGTGGAAGGAACTTGACTGGTGTGAATCTCCTGGATTTCTTTTAAGAACTTTATACTTCTATTGCAAAATTCTCTGTTTTCTCCCCATACATATTTTAAGCCTAACACATAAGCGCTTCCTGTAATAACACTCCAAATCTAAACCAGCCCTTAAAGTATTTTTCCCCCCTGGAGGATTCATGTTGCTGTGACAATTTAATAGCATTTGTAGCCTTTGAGTTGCAAAAATGAGGAAATAAAGACTTGGGCCATAAGACTTACAGCTTATCGTTTGAGAATGTAGACTCAGGCGTATGGGGTTCTACCATAAAACATTAGAGCATTCCGCTGTCAGAAGCAGAGAAAGCACACCCACGTGCCCAGGGGATGTGTTCCACCCCAGCTGCTTAGGACCTGCTGAAGGAGCAGTGTTTTCAAGCATGATCCCTGACATGGAGAAGAGTAATGTGACAAATGAACAGGTGTTCCAAGGTGGCAATTTGAATAGAAGCTATAAAGTTTTAGCTTCACCCGAGGGTATTACTGCAAATTAGTTAAGCAAGTAGTTATTGATGGCTTAAATTAAGCAGCACATTGAAGAGGGCACATTTCCTTTCCCAGTGGAGTGCTATTAGGAAGCCTTAACCTACTTTGACATTTCTTTCTGATCAAATCTTCCCTGTTTCGTTCAATTCAGAGTGATTCATGCTTTTAAAAATAGTTTTAGAAAATAGGCCATGAGTTAGATAATTAACATTAGAGTTCTTTTTCAGTAATGATTTCCTAGACGCTGGTCATTGGAGTAATCTGTCATCATGTGATGGTGTTAGGGGATTTGGGGTTTTGTTTTTTTCTTCTGAAGTAAAGGATTCAGTACTTGGAGGAGCTTCTAGAGCAGCTGAAAGGTCTGAGATATTTGAATATATCTGGACTTTTGACAGCAGGAAACAGCTGCTTTCACGCATGTGGAAGATTCCTGTGATTAAAATTCAGAGATCTAGAACATGCTACTGTGGAGCTGACAGAATAGAAATCTTGTACCCTATTGCGTCAGACAGCTTTCATTGCTGTGATGAATACCGGAGAACATCATCCTTGAAGAGGACAGCTTTACTTTAGCGCATAGTTCCGAGGGTCCAGTCCATGGTTTCTTGACTATATTTTCCTAGGCCTGGGCTAGAGCAGAATATCGTGATGGGAGCATGAGATAGAGCTGAGTGTCACTTTGTGGCAGCCACGAAGCAGAAAGGAAAGCAAAAGGGCCAGGCTTCCAATACACCCTTGGAGGGCTTGCCCTCTGTGAGCTGCGCCTCCAGCTGGGCTCTAAGGCTTAGTCTGCAGTGCCTCCCCCTAGTGCCTTTGTGGGGCATTGCAGGGCCAGACTGTAATGTCTGCCGTTACTGGAAGGTGAGCAGATTCTGTTTGTCCAGCTGTGATGGCTGGGCACCTACGACTTTAGATTGGGGGCTCCTTTGCATTTTTCCTCACATTAATGCTGTCAGTACTGAAATACAAGGCAGCCCTTCCAGAGGCACTAATGGTTACTTTACGTTAGATGGATTAGTTGTAGTTAACATGACTTTTCTTTTTCTTAGTGAAAATTTACTTGGGAGACTTTCAGTTGTACTTTAAGTCCTACAGTTACAGTACTAGTTCATAGATGGGAGGTCCTCATATTCAGAGTATATATATTTGTGCATCTGTGTGTGCGTGTGTGTGTGTGTGTGTGTGTGTGTGTGTGTGATATTGGGATTGTTCCCCCAGCCGTTTTTATTTTTGAGACAAGATGAGTTGCCCAGTATGGACCGGAATTTGCAATTCTCCTCTATCACCTCCTAGAGTACTGGGTTTACAGGCGTGTATCTCTGTGCCCAGCTAGGATACATGTATTTTCATGTGGCTTCCATCTGTTCAACTCAGACCCACATCACTGGAGCCGAATGAGAGTGGCTTTCTTGTGAACCTGTATATAAGGATAGTCCTAAACAGAATTCAAGGGCAGGACCATGTTCTACCATTCATTCAGCAAACATGTAGTCTCAAATCTGCACCTGCTTCTGCCTAAGCCAGGAATGGCAAACCTGTTACAGCTTTCATTGGTAACGAACAACGTGCTGCGGCACGGGTGCCGTAAGTTTACCACTACCTATCTAAGCCATTCTTAATTAGACGTAACTGCTAGTCATCCTGCCACTTTAAAGTCTTTTAGCTCAACGGCATAAACGCCTGCCTGGCAAGTGCGAGGTCATGAGTTCATTCCCTGGTACCACACAAAAAAATTAAAAAATAAAAATCATCTGTGTCCTTCTGAGGATATGGTACATTGGTCTGCATGTTATATGAACCAACTGACACAGAGTAGTTCTCAGACACTTTACATTTCTCACTACTTTTGTAACAATGTCTCAACCTATTACATAAAATGTCTCTTTTCATAATTTATTAATTTTGCAGCCTTTATGCAGAAATACTGAGGTATCCATTTAAGCACTTTGGGTAAAAGGATGAATTTTTGTGGTACTATAAACTTAAGTCAGAACACCCTGAGAAAATCCCTTTATTTCTTAGGTTATTTCTTCATTTGGAAATAAGACCTTTCAGCCAAATCCGCTTTTGTGACTCCCATGGATTTTTGCAAATATTGATAAAATGACCAGTCTCGCAGTTACTTTCAAAGCATGAAATATTCTTCTTGAGCTTTCTATTCCCCTTCCTTGCAGTGTTCCTATAGGGTTAAATATATGTTCTTTATTATTAATTTTATTTTTAACACAAAGCCTTTGAGAAAGAAGGCGAATCATAGGAGATTGTTTCCTGCCCTCTTGGGAGAGTGGAGTAACTGAGTCCTGAAGGAGAGTGCCTGGGGGCCCCTGAGGGGTGGCTGAGGCTGGGGCCAGGGCAGGATGGGGTGTCCTTCTCTTCCTTCTCTGTCGTCCTGAGGATCCAGGCTCCTTTTGGGGTTGCAGGTCTCCCCAGGCCACTGTAGCCTCTCCATACGGCATCGCCTGTCAGCCATCTTCCCTGCGCAGACCAACCCTGTCATTTGAAATTTGTTGGAGCTGTTGCTTTATATAAAGGTGAGCAAAGTAACCTTCTGGTTAATTTGCATGGATTGATTCACCAAATCAGAAAGGGACAGGTCATTGCAGTAACACAGTAAAGAGCTCTACATTTCTGAGGTTATACTCCATCTCTTTTCATCTTAACACCAATTTCATATGCCAGGTAATAATATTTCCACTTTGCAGATGAACAAATGAGCTTGTAGAAGGGATTTGCCCAGCTCATAACTTGGAAAGACAGTCTCAGGGACTGATCTAATCACATTTGGTTTCCATCACACTGTACTACTTCTTTGTAGGCGCAGCGTCCAGCAGAGACAGGCCATTTTTAAGTTTAAGAACACAAGATAGAGCAAATTATAGCTAACATGGATGTAACTTTAAACATCTCTTGAGTCTAGTTATGCATGCATTCAGATCTGCTCATCTGACCTACTTTCATGAGGCCATGCAAAGATATCTGTAGTTTCTTGAGGCTTGTACTTCTCGTAGTTACTGTCTTTCTTCTATAGGAAGGTTTCTTCTTCTGTGGGCTGCTGTGTTACCTGAGTTTTTCTAATATTAAGGCCAGGAAATACATCTTCACGGTGTAAATAAGTGCCGGGTTTTCCCGGGCCACTGCACCAGCCATCTGGTTAAGCCTGGTAGCCAGGCTAACCCCATCTGACATCCAGGTTTACACCATGATGTATCTGTTACACCATATTTTCAAGGGCCAGTAGGAGGGTTGGCTTAAGTAATAAGAGGATTCCTTATCTAACACATCTGACTAGGATACATCAGGACAGCTTTCTGGCTTGCTAACGCATCCGCACACCACTGCCGTCTTGAGAGTCAGAGTCGGTCTTTGCTGTCCTCGGCTTGGTGGCTGTCTCCCATGTTCTCAGATGGCTATGAGAATTGCAGACAGGTATGTCTTGAAAGAATGAGTCTGCAGAATGAATGCTCACTTTTGCTTTTTTTTTTTTTTTTTTTTTTAGGAGCCAAAAAACATTTCCCAGAATCCTCTGCTAGATCTTGAATTCCACAATTCAAGATTATGTCACCAGGGCCAGGGATTTAGCTTGGCAGCATAAGCCCCTGCCTGGCAAGCATGAGGCCGCAAGTTCAATCCCTAGTACAAAAAAAAAAATTACATCATCTATCTGTCTAAATCTATCAGTAGTAAAGCTAATGGTGTCACTAGGGATGCAGAGAAATTAATATTTAACTTAGTACCATGAGAGGATGGTAGAACTCCAAACAATACCAAGTATCTTCGAGTAGGAAAATGGGATAGATACAACCTGCCAGCCTTTTACTGTTGGCTTCAGACATTTTTAGAGATTTACATTTATGTGCACACATGCTTATCCTAGAGAACATTGGCTTATTTCCCCCAAGTAGCTATTATTTGGGCCATGATTAATCAGAGAGCTGAATTTCCAATCAAGACAATACTATCCTTTGAGTCCGTCAGTGTGAGTCAAACACATGGTAAGTGAAATGTAAAATAAGACTAAGCATTGACTAAAAAATAAGCATACCATTTGGAGCAGAAATGTAAGCTTTTTATGATAGTATAGAAGACCAAATACCTATAAGTAGTTGTTTTATCAGGCACCTAGAAATATTAGGTGAAATACAACATTCTTGAGTTGCTGAGCTCAAAAGGATGTAAGAGAATTCCTTTAAGAGAACTGAAGTTAAGGGGAAATTGAGTCTCAGTAAACATTGATTGCAGCCCAGGGTGATGATGGAGCATTTGCCTCCTCCCCTTCCCAAGGCTTGGGAGTTCACACTTAGGAGATGAGTGATGGAGCCTTGTGAGATTCCGAGTAAAAAGCTTAGGGTCCCATAGAGAGTCCCGTGAATAAGGAAAAGCACTCCCACTTGCATGGGGAACTGCAGAGTTTGTAAGTGCAAAATTTGGCCTGGATTTTGAATGAAGATAAAGCTCTCCGCTGAGAATGTGTAACCAGTGCCCTCTGCAGTAAGTTTGTTTATGGAATCCATACCTGTGCTGACCAAGAGCTTTGAAGCAAACACATTAGCACTAAAGCATCCACAGACTGGGGTGCTATAGGGTACCTGGCAGTGGCCATACTGGAGCTGCTTGTAGGGGATCGGGTGTCAGCCAAGGCTGTGTGGCTCTTCCAAAGGTCCCCTCGAACTGAGGATGAGAAAACAACCGTCGTGAGCAGAAGACAGCAGACTCAAAACTGTCAGGCTGCAATAAATTAAGGATTAACAAAAATATTACACAGTTAAGCAGGATTAAAAGATGTTACTTTATAAAAGAAACACATAAGAAAAATTTTTCATAAATAAAAAATATTGAAATAAGCTAATGGGCAGCCGCAAATTAAGTTAAACAGTTGATGTAGAAATTTATGAACTGGGAAATAGAACTGATCTAACAAATTTTCTACAAAGCAGCATAGACAGATGGAAAATATGATTGGAATTTAATAACATGAAAGGCAAATGAGAATATCCAACATAATCTAATCCAAGTCTTAGAAGAATAGAACATGTGGCCTGTATGTTCCAAAATTTATGAAAGATAAAATTTGATAAGTGCAGGAAACAAAGTGACCCCAAAACAAGATAAATAAAAGTAAATTGAAACCAGAGAGAGGACATTGTGTTGGGCGCAGGTGCTCAACATACCATACCCCACCCGGGACTAAGGACCATGCCAGCTTCCGCAATGCGCTACGTCCCTCTTTAAATTAGCCAACCCGTGTGCACCTCGTGCTCACTCCGTATTCGCCCCGTGCTGACTCTGTGGCAACCCCTGATTGGCCACAGCTGGATATAGTAGCCAGAGCCTGCGTCCCATTCCCGCCCTGCTTCCTCGTGGCAGCCTGTGATTGGTCACGGCCAAATATATAAACCAGAGCCCACGTAAATAAAGCAGCAGTTAACTGTCGCCCACAAGAGGGTCTCCTGTCTCATTGGGGGGCTGCACCGGTCACATTGCATGGAAAATACACCCAGTCAGAAAAACTGATGGGTTGCGGGATTTGTAACAGCACCCGGGAGACACTGGGATATCTTGAGATGACTGTAAGGAAACACAGCTGGTTGTCTCATCATCTAAGTTATCATTCAAGATTAAGGAGTAAATCCCATATTCAGAATAAAGAATACCAGGATTCTGATAATTTTGCTATCGAGGTGACTTTCCAGATCACAGAAACAGCCCCATGAAAATAATGAAACATGAAAAGTAGTGGCAAAAATTGGCAGAGTTAAATTATTGTTTTTTTTTTAATTTTTATTTAAGGAGAAAAGAAAAGAAAGAAAAAAAAACAGTGAAGGGGTACAAGTGATACAGATTTACAGAAGAAAAAAATGCGCAGTAGGAAATCACTAGTTAATGGATTACATATTGCCATCTTAGAAATAATTGTTCCAGTCACAAAATTAAAGCTTGTAGAGTGGACATTCCAACAATGATACTGCAAACAGTTCTGTTCAATGATCCAATAAAACTCTGTGATATCATTTTCTATCTTATACATTTAAATATACATGCAGTTATATAGTTTAGAGCACTTTCTTTTCCTCTCTTTTGTACAGTGACTATTACACATTTTGGGTTTCATTGCTCCCACGGTTCGTATTGCTTTTTTGGAAGAGAGTAAAACCAAATGTGACATAACAGAACAGAATCGGTCAAGTCAAAAGGGTGGACATAATAGATAATATAAAAACATAATACAAGGTGATCAACAATGGTTACCATAATGCCTCCCACTATTTCTAATAGAATTGCCTATATCATTAGTTGTAATACAATTGAACAAAACCGTAAAGAATAAAACCGACAAAACCAAAACATTGGAGATATTGTAGGTCTTCAAAAGTAGATAAAAGTCAATGAGAATGGGCGTTATAATGAATCTCATTATCTTCTCAGCTGATGCCTAAACTTTCGAACCTGATACTATCCAGCAAAACAGAATAGAGGAACCTCAGTCAAAAACAAGATGGTGAGAGTAATACAGGGCTTCAAATCGAGATAATAGAAAGTCAAAGTGGGTTACTATATTATATCCTGCTATATTTTTCCCTTTAATTAAATGGATAAAAATAAAAAAGTAAATAATAGAGTGGAGATTGAGAAAAAAGAGGGCATAACAGCGAAACAGGGCAGATCAAAACATAACCATTTAAGCAGAATAGTGTTTCACCACCAGATAATCCTGACCCAAAAATAGTTACCATATTGACTCCCTCCCTGAAGTCCTTGAGTACAACTTCATATACTGTAGCATTAAGTATATCAAAACAATGTAAAACCATTTAAGAGAATGACAGCATTATAGAGCATTTAGAATCGACTAACAGAAAATGAACAATGGTCTCTGTATAATCTCCTTGTCTTTAAAAGGTTTTTGCTTATACTATCGTACATAACAAAATCCAATAAGATACAACCTGTTTAGACCATTGGAGACAGAAGAACAAAAGCTAGATGAGACTTCAAAACAAGATGGTACTAAATCAGCATTACCTATTAAGATGTCATTTTCTCCAAAAAAAGCTGTTCCTATCATCCAATCTTCTCTGTCCCATTTCTGTTGAGCTCTTTTTCTGTCAGTAGCTGTCAGTTTGTCTTCTTCATTTTGTTCTCTGCTCCATTCGTTTTGGCCTCCCCGCCACTATTTCTGGGTTCTTTGTATTTTTCTTTTTTTAGAATATCCTGCAATACTTTCTGTAGGGTTGAATTGGTGGTTGCAAATTCCCCCAGTTCCTCTTTATCCTGGAAGCACCTCGTTTTTCCATCAATTTCCAGGGACAGTTGTGCAGGATATCTCAATCTTGGCTGGAGATTATTATCTTTCAAAGCTTGGATTATTTCTCCCCATGCTCTTCGTGATTTGATGGTTTGTGAAGAGAAATCTGCTGTAATTCTGATGGGTGTTCCCTTGTAAGTGATCTGTTTCTTGTCTCTTACAGCTTTTAATATTCTGTTCTTGTATTGAATTTCTGGAATTTTTATTATTATATGCCTGGGTGTTTCTCTGTTAGGGTTGTAGGTAGCTGGGGTCCTGTATGCCTCATACATCTGAGTATCTTTACTTTTTGCTAAATTAGGAAAATTCTCCTGGATTATTTCTGTGAGTAGCTTTTGCAGTTCACTTGTTTGTGTCCCTACTTCTTCTTTTATGTTCTTAATCCTTAAGTTATGGCTCCTCTTATCATCTTCTTGTCTTTGTATTATTGCTGTTTGTTTCTTTGTTATTTTTAAGAAGTTTTTCATTTCATTCTCCCATGTTTCAAGTCTGCCCTCCAGTTCAGATAGTCTGTCCTTAGTTTCTTTCAAGCTGTTATGCCAGTCTTGGATAGATTTCTTAATTTCTTGATAGTCCCTTTGAACCTGCTTCACATACTCAATGCTTTCTCTGTTTTCTCCATCAAGCAATTCTCCCCTCTTTTTCTGTTCTTCCATTCCACCATCTGCTTTTTCCTGGGTGGTGCTTAGCATTTCTCTAACTATTCTGCATACTTCTAGCTTCAGGTCATTGATAACTTCATTCCTGAATTGGTCTATGAGGCTGTCTATATGGCGCTTAATGTATATTGGTGCGGTGTCCACTATTGCCTGATTCTCAGGATTGGGGGCCGAGGAGCCTTTTTTGTTGCTTCCCTTCCCCATATTTTCTGTTCCTTATAAAATGCAAGCTTACATGGGAGGCCCGGCTTCCCTGCCTGTCAGCCACAGCCTGATCAAATTGCGCTGGCTAGTTGTTCCCGCCCATCGCTGCGCCCCAGGGAGTTGCGGAGGAGGCAGCCTACGTGGGAGTCGGTCGCTCCTCCGGGCCACCGTCAGGCTCTGGGATCTGGGTTAGGCCAGCCTAGGGAGTCCGCCCGCAGCGTCACGCAGGCCATACACTTTTCATCAATCCCGTCCGAGAGGGGAATGTGTGGCTGGAGTTGCCACCGCGCCCTGCTCTTACAGGACTGCCCGAGCCCAGAAAAACCTCCGCTGGATTCAAACTCTGGTAGGGGGTAGTTTCTCTCTCACCTCACCACCAGTCAGTTTTCCTCCTTGTCTGTCCTGTTTCCGACTCCGTTCGCAGACTCCCGTTCCCAGAGCTCTGTGCGTCTCTCCTTGCCGAGCCGCTGTGGAGGCAGCCAGCTGCCGGGCGGCGGGAAACCCAAATCGCGGTTTCCAATGGCGCGGGGTCGAGCCTCTACACCGAGTCTTTTCTGTTCCTATTTTAGCGCCAGGACTGTATCCTAAGTTGGATTCTCTCAGCCCAGTTCGTTCCTGAGTCAGCAGAGCATATCTCTACTGGTTCGTATCTCCTTAGTCCGCATCATTCCTGGCCTCTGAGCCGAGCCTTTCAGAGACCCTTCAGTAGTTGCTGTTGTCTGTCCGCCATGTTCTCCCAGAGCCCCCAAATCAAATTTCTGCCAGGCATGGTGGCATACACCTCGACTCTTAGCCTGTCGAGGACGGTAACCGGAACCCGGCGTCTGTTCCTGTCACTTCTGCGCCCCTCCCGACCGATGGCTGGGCACGGGCTCAGAGTTAAATTATTGTTTAAAGTGATGCCCAAGAAGCTTTTCTAAACCTTGCAAGACAGTTTTTGGAGAAAATCACTGAAACGAAGTTAAGTAAGTTATACAATGTTCATGGATGGAAAATGCACAAGAGAGTTAATGATACTTAGCCTCATCTGTAGATTCAGTGCGTTTCTCACCAACATCTCACAGCTGCAAGCTGATAAGCTGTTCAAAAAATTCCACAGGGAAAAGTGAAAGACCAAAAGCTATCAAGTCAATTGTAGAAATAAGATCAAATAGAGGGTATGTTCAGTTCCTCTAGATGGTAAAGTTTACCTAAACCCAAAGCTGTAGTAACTTAACAGAATTATTTTCTGAAAAACATGAATAGAAAAATGGAACAAAGCAGACAGTGGTTATATATTATGTAATACAGTAAGGAACCAACATACAGTTCGTGTTAAACTTAGTCACTGAGTATTCTGAGAGTGCTGCACATTCTGACTCTGTAAACGTGGCATTAAATCTCAGTCTTAGATCTCAGTCTTAGTATTATTCATGACACTAAAAGGCAGAAACAGTTTGCATGTCATCAAGAGATGAAGGGGTAAAGAAATTATGGAATATACACACAAAGGAATATTAGCCATGAAAAGGAATGAATCGCTTTATGAGCAGTGAACCTTAAACACAGTGTGCTAAACCAAAGAAGCCGGGCTCGTAAAGTCTCCACATCTTTATTGTTTATATATAAAGTATCTACAGTAGGGAAATCTGTACATACCGAGAGCAGGGTAAAGGTTGCCAGGGATCAGGAGAAAGGGAAACAAGGAAGGGTTACTAACAGGTAGGGGAGTTCAGGGTTGATGACCGCGTGAGTCTGTGACTGCAGTAAATCCCACTGATCTGTACAGTTAGGAGTTGTGGATACAAATTTTATTCCAATGAGAATTAAGTCAGCAAGGATGGACTCTTAGCAAATGTTGCTTAAGAAATTACCTTATCCACATGGCAGAAACATAAAATGTCACACACCACCAGGTATACCAAAGTCCTAGATTACTAAGCAGTACTTTAAAACTCAGGGAAGCAAGTGTGGAAGCTAGAATTTTCTATGAGAAAACAGACCATTAAGAAGCTAAATGATGAGACCCAATCACTACAAAGGCTGTAGAGTTACTATCTGGAATACACGGAGAACTGCTCTTAACTCAAACTGAGAAAAGCAACAACTCGGCAGGAAAATTGGCAAATGATATGAACAAACACAGAAAAGGAAACCTGAAAATTACTCAGAATCATGCACATTGAAGCAATGAGGTGTCCTGGCATTTTGTGTGTCAGGTTGGAGGAGTGGAGTTTGGAGAACAGCTTGTTTGGCAGAGTGTGAGGACAGATGCACAAGAAGCA